GCCTTAAGGCACATAAATCACACACGATTGCTAATTGATTGACAGCAGTTTTAGTTCTTTGAAGATTCTCAATAAAAGCCACGCACTGACCCAATTCGGGGCTCAGTCTTCTCTGGCTGAGTCCCTTGGTCTCGCTCATATCTTACTTTTGTCTCTTTACTTTATTCAATCTGCGTCGCTCCTCTTGAGACCCATTTGCCCTTGCCACGCAGGACGTGACATCTGGCGCCCAACCTCGGGGCTTCTCGAAGAAGGGAAGGAAGACTTTGAATCTTTTGAATTTCACGGCACAGACCCCAGGACGGGCCGGCACTCTACTTGGTAAGGAGTAGGGAAAAGTCCTGAGGAATTGTACTGGGGTATCCGGAGAATAACCTAACAAACTTTGTGTGAAAGAGTGTGAATGTGTGAGTGATTGATTATAGTTTCAAGACTTTTAGTCGCAAAACTTGAATGGGCTCCACTCCGTGGTTCCGTAATCTGTCGTAAGGCATAACGGCGACTGGGCATTTGTCTTCAGACACTTGTTCAACAGTTCGGGGATTTATACCGAAGCGCCTTCAGCCAAGACAGACTTAGTCCCGTGAGGGACACGGCCAGACGAGCATCTGAGTGAATAATTGAGTGAAAATTCTATTTTCTCTTCTAAAAACTAACATGAGAAATTCTGAGAGTCGATATAGACCGTATACTTGCCTCCTTAAGCAGCTTTCTAAGAAGGGAGGGGTAAAAGTCTCAGAGAAAAAATTAAAGGAACTTTTAAAAGTTATTGAAACCCATTGTACTTGGTTTTCAGATTTAGGAACTGTAGATTTAGATCAGTGGGATGTAGTAGGTAAAGATCTTTCAGAAAAACAACTTAAGGGAGAGGAGATACCANGGCCCTCACACAGAGATCTTCATGAGCACACGCACAGCGCCCTGTCTGCACAGTCGGGTACTGACCACTATAGTCCATCACGCTGTTCCCTTCACTGGCGTGCCTTTGCTCTACACACACAGTGAGCCCCTCCCATCTCAGCCCTGACCTCCATGCCTCTTCTGTGCATCTCCCCTTAGCACCAGCAGAAAGCACTGCACTGTCCCCGCCCTGTGTCCATGCGTCCATCCTCTCAGTACTCATGTCCATCTTCCCAGGTGCCCGCAGCTCCTCAAGCCATGGCCAGCCCCTCCCTTGTCGTTCTCATGGACTTAAGAGTCCTACTCTGCAGACAGGCAGGCACCGTGATGAAGGCACACCCAGGGCTTGCCCGGACTCGGACACCGGGGCTGGCACAGGTGTGTGCTGTGTTGGGGCTGGGTAAGGTGCGAGGCTCTTTTCAAACACAGGCTGCAGAGGGCCAGGCCAGGGACGGAATGGAGGGGGCAGCAGGGCTGCACACAGCTGGGCATGGAGGACCCACGCCAAGTGAGGGACTGATGGCGTTGGATGACAGAGACCCAGGGGGGAACAGCTCATGGGACTGGGTAGATGCGCTGGCTCTCAGGCAGCTGGTCCCTAGCTCCTGAGCACATCTTCATCCTGGGGTTAGGTCAGTGACTGTCCCCACCCCCACTTCCCCACCCCTATTGGCCCCTGCCTCAGCCAAAGGAGCGTGTGTGGGTCCATCAAAGCTCAGCTCCTCTGCCCTTGGAATAGCGTGTTCCAGCGAGCACCTGCTCC